TAAAGTCGTTAGTCTAGTAGCTTTACCAGCGTTCTAGTTGGAGGTTTATGAATTGGAGATAATGGTCTTGGTTACTGTCTTTGGTAAGCAGGATAAGTTACCTATTGTGGGAGCTTTTATCTGCTGTTACAGAGTATAGATGTGTGTAATTTCACTTTCAAGGATCTTCTCTGTTGGCCTGAGGTTGATTTTTAGGGTGATTGAAACCTGTAAGGAGCCCTTTTTACAGGATTTCAGACACATGGCAATAGAGGACTTTGATGACTTGTTTCCTTTTACCACAGGGTTGTAGAGAATGGAAAGAACCCTGCATTTCCTGAGAACTTTTGTTCTTTAGAGGTAAGTCCAAAGACCACCCAAGACAAACAGACCTTCCTTGGATTTTTTTTCATTAAGATGAGCAGAATTACAATAGGATGCAAAGACAAAGTCCTGAAATTGATGGAAAGCACCCTACCAGTTAATTTCTGTTTTAGATAAAATGCACTTCGTTGCTTCTACTGATTTGTGTTGAGACGTACTAAAGAGAAGTAATTCTAATCAGAAAAATGACCTAAATTTTAAGTTACGATGATTGAAGGAAGTAGTTAAAGTAAACATTCTGTTAAAGCACCTAGCCAAAGATAGAAGTCTTTCTGCTGGGCCTGTGAATTTCTTGACAAATTAGGAAGTGAAGATGCTTTCATTTACTCTTCAGTGTAACTGCAAGTTGAGATTAGCCTGGGTTTGTCAAGTCTTGTACTGGTAGTGGTGCATCTTGAGGTCCCTATTCCAGTGGTATGGTGAAGCTGTCAGTGTTCTAGGTATGCTGATATAACTGAGTAAGATGGATGTAGCTCTACAAGGCAACTGAAGTTAATTTTTATGCTTTGTGATCCATTGGATGTCTGCCAATTACCCTGCATGTGGATTTGTGAAAAATCAATGACAAAAGCAAGCCTGTTGTTAGGCAGGTTTCACTTTCTGTGCTGGAGCTGGCAACTTTACTCAGAAGTGTTAAAACGTATGTTGGGTTCCATGCCTTTATTTATATGCTTGACATAATTTGGTTTTTAGACTTTATTAATTTAGCATAGAGCTGCTTAATTCTTTTTTGCATGCAGGCATAACCAGTTATGTGAAATAGATTGGTGTTGATCCTTCTAAAGTAGCCTGAGGAGGTCTCTGCAGAAATGTTGTCTATGAACATGTTAGGAAGAGCAAGCCAAATCACTTGAAGATGTATTTCAGTAGTGATGCAATGATATGAAAGACATAATCTGTGTAGCTTTTAATTTCTTAACTTTTTTTAAGCTACATAGGTACTTGCAAGAGAAGCAAAATGTTTTACCGCTTTACTTTCTTGCTGCACACCCTCGCATTTTGAAAGCAGGCTTATAAGTTTGACTGAAACTGTGGTTTCTTCTTGACCCCTCTATGCAGCATTAAAAAATCGAGTGATAGTCTAACACTGTTTTTGTTCCCTGCACTGTTATATGCTTAGTATAGTCGAAAACTAAAACAGTTCTGATAGGTGGACAAATAGTTACTCCATGTGGTTTGAACTCTGATAGAAACATCTACTTGGACTCCTAGAATTCAGAGTGATATTCTTTACTATTTGAAAGTAATGAGCTTATTTCATGGCATGGGCGAAGAAACCAGCATCAAAAGCAGTACTTAGTTCTTGCGAACTCTAGTTGCATTCAGGTTCATCCATGTAAACAGAATTCTAATGCTTGTCCCTCCCCTCTGCCCCCCCGAGAGAATTCTTTGGCACATGGGATACAGATATAAAAATAACTTTGAGAGGGTGATAATAACTAATGCTGTTGCAATATCTTGCATATGTGCCCTGAAACAGCCATGTATCTGTTTAGTTGTACAATTTCATTTGTAATTTATTAGCTTACAGGTAACTTTGAAAACATATTATTTGAAAGAAACTTATCTATTTTTTTTAAGCTAATTAATTTTGAGTTTAACATTAGTTCAGTTTGAGTTCTAAAGAGTTCAGAAAGTATCTTATTTATGATGCTTTCATAAGGGGAGTTTTTGTTTTAATGTCCCCTGTATATACCACAAGGAGCTGTGTGTGGCTCATCTGACAGTGAATACCTGATTGAATGCTTAAGTGATGCTGGGGTATTTTTACTTTTATATAACAGTTTCTTTGGGCATATCTCTGGCAAATGGCAAATACAACAAATATTTTGTCAAATGACAAATCCTGACACTTATTAGAATGCCCTTTTGTTACATGGTTTCTGAAAAATAAACACTAATTTACTGCTCTGGGAAATACTGTTTACTTTCACTTTTCTAGGATTTGGGACACAAGCTTCTGGTGTGGTTAAATCTGTGTAAATTGCCACAGGTTAGCCTCCTAGATGTGGAGTGGCAGTGCTGGTCATCAGTAGTGTAACAAGCAATCTCAATTGTGATGATCCATTCCCCCACCCCCCAGAAAAAGATAATTGTTAACTTATGAATTCTGTTTTTTGTGTTTGAAAGTGTTTTATTGGGAAAACAATCTTGTTAAACTAAAATCTTAAATTGACAACACTTAGGTTTTCAAGACAGCATCAAGAATGACATATAATAAAGCTTCGTAGGACAACACTAACTTTAACTTTCAGCTTCCTCTGTGAACATTAGAAGTAAATCTATCTAAAAAAACAAACATTGGCCACTAGTTAGGAATATGTCTTAGGGTAGAAGGTCTGGTCATATCAAGCCTAGCACATACATTTCCTTACGAGATATTTGAGCTGTGTAGTGCTAAGTGAGTCTATCCAAAGAAAAACAGAACTAAGAAAAAGTCTCTGTGCAGGTCTTCTAAACAAACATTTTTTTGTTTGAAGGTGGGAGAAGTCCAGTCTTTACTTTCCCCAGTAAACTGTGATATTCTCTTGAAGAAGCTGCATAAAAAGACTGTATGATCAGTTTTGATTTTGTAGAAGGCTTATATAGTTTTAGGCTTCAAACTAATGTGTGGTTCTAGAAATGCTCTCACTTCTGGAATTATTGCCAGCAATTTGGAGGAAGGGTGGCTTGGGAAGAGGACAGGGTTTGTGAACTGAAAGTAAAGTGCATGTGTACATTCCCAGGACATATATTAGAACACAGTGGGGACATTCAGTTACCTTTTCAGCTTCATACTTTTTGTGGGTTTTTTAGTATATCTTAGGGTAAAATAGCCTGTTCTTTTGGTTCTTAACAGAATTGAGGAAGCAATAATTCTGCTTTTTTATACACTGTAGAATTTGCCTTTGAGTAACCTATATACAAAGTGAACATTTCTTTATTATTTTCTTAAATTCAAATTGTCAACATTGCAATAATCAACTTGCGTGAATTTAAGTTATTTAGATAAACCAGAGATGGTATGAAGAAAATTACTTGCAGACTTCAGCACTGTCTGGATGCTGTCCAGGTTGGTTTACTGGTTGATTTTGATTTAGGAAGTGAGAACTCATGCAGCAGATGTGACCAAAGTTTAGAAAACAAGTCAACAATTACCATCTTAAGTATGACATGTAGTAGCTTTTGATTTCCTTGGAGTTGCATGAATAAGTTTCTGTATTCATTGTTCATATGCTGGTAGTTTAGATACCAGTGATTTGAAGGACAGTGGAATTTTGTCATGCTGTTTGAGACAAGGCCTGGACTTTTAACAGAAGGGAGGGTGTTCATTGCTTTCAGGTTTTATCAATAATAATTCTGAAACATTTGGGTAGAATGCTCTGCTGTTTTGTGGTTTATTTCACTAAGTAGTGTTGGGCTCTAAATTTTTTTGGATATCCGTATGTGCTGCTAACCGTGTGGTCAGCAGCAAATGCATTCTGAAGTGTACTGATGTGTTGGGGTTTTAACACTGCTTTTTTGCTGTATTTGTATAACCTGTTTCTCCTTGTGTGGTTTTCTCACATGTACTGTATCAGAGGAAAGTTATATATCCAGTCCTAGTTTAGCAGTATGCTTGACCAGCAAAAAAGATTTTCTATCTTGGGAGGATACGTAGGTACTAAAACTCCACACACAGGTATGCTCAGGAGAATATATTCCATGTAGTACGTTATTGACAAAGTATCAAGCTAAAAAATTTATTGTGTGAATTTTGTTTTACTTTCTCATTTTGATGTTTGAGTAGTAGGCACTTTGACGGGGACGGCTTGTTTACCAACTAAGTTGGTAAGCTTAGTTACTCTTCCTACTACTTAAAACCTTGGAATTGAATATAATAGGCATTGCTGATAATGCACTTTCAGTAAGATACGGTGCTTGCTATAGGTAGGTCTCTATTTTAACTCTGCCAAGTTGGATGTAATTTTTCACCTCTTTAGGTCAGTAAAATGCCTTTGTCATCCAGTCCTTTAACAGAAAAGCTTCCACATTGGTTTGCATATACCAAGTTTCAGGGTGTATTCAGAGCTTTGTGGACACTCTGCACTGCTTCTCATCATGTCACATCTGGTTTATTAATCAGTGGAAGACTTCAATTAATTATCTGCCTTGCTGTTTTCCTCATGCATCTCTTGCAACTGATGCACCCGTGCTTCTGCTGACCGATCTTGCAATAGATTGTCTTGTTATGAGCTTCTGCCTGGCTCATCAATAGTTTTCTCCTTAATGGACCTTGTTTGCCAGCTCCTTCTCTCAGATTAATGCAAGCATTATTATTCATGTATGTGTGCACTGAATATTTTATATTAGCAGCATTTAATTTTATAAGGGGTTTTTTGTAACTGTAACTTTCACCTGCCTGTTTTGGAGATACTTCTCAGTAAACAATCCATACTTTTTTGTCATCTAATTATTTTTTAATTTAGAATAAAGTTTTGTTATTTTGGTGAAGTTTTACTGTGTACAACTTTTTTAGCTATCTAAATTTAACACTTTCCGTGTTAGTATTTTCTAAATGACTCACTATAATGTTTCATATAGTTACCACAATAATAACCTGAAATGATTTGCATTTTGTTGGATTTTTTTATGTTTCTTATTTTGTTTTCCCACAGGAAATGTATGAGGTTGCCAAGAAACTTTGCTCCTTTTGTGAAGGTCTTGTACATGATGAACATCTTCAGCATCAAGGCTGGGCTGCCATAATGGCCAACTTGGAAGATTGTACATACTCTTACCAAAAACTACTTTTCAAGTTTGAAAATGTATATTCAAGCTATTTGCAGTCCATAGATGATATCAAGTTGAAACTTACACAGTAGGTTTGCCATTAAATTCAGCCTCCATATCCAAAGTTACTCTATTTTAAGTTTGTTTTTTTTTTTTTTTTTTTGAGTATTGTATGTTTGGTCTGATTAATCAAGCATGTATTTATTTGGTTATGTGTCATGGAGAACATTGTTTATGTTCTATGCTAGTCTTTTTTTTAACTGACATTTTTTCCTTGTATTTGTCGGCACACAGAAACCTGCTTTAAATTATGTGGAAGATATGCTCATTAATGAACAGCTGTTTAAGAGCTGGAGTACTTCCAAATGTGCAGCAGAAACAGCTAGATGAAAATTTAAACGTTAATCAACTTGTTAAAATGCATATTTGCACTTTTGAATTGATTGTTTTTTAACACACCTGAGCAGGTATTAAGAATGATGATCTGTAGTGAAAGTATGAAGTCATAACACAAACTTTGGGTGTATATGTATAACTTTGGGTGTGGATGTGTGTATATGTATGTATGTATACTTGTCCTGCAAACTCTGGGTGTTACTTCAAGGAAGATCTTTGACATTTTTCTGGACATTATAGTTTGGTATTATGGTATTTATAGGAGTGCTTTGCCTAACAGAATGTAAGTAGATGTTGGATACTTAAATAAAACAGAAATATGTTTTTAAAAAAAAAAGTTGAACTTTGTAGCTTGTACTAATACATAGAAACTATTCAAACTCTGCAAAAGTACTTGGCCAGAGGACACTCAATTATTGCTAATAAGCAGTGGTATCCATGCAGGCTGGAAACATAAAGTCCCAGTTGTGTGGTTATAAAAAAAAGAGGAGGGGAGGGCATGTCTTGGTTAATCAAACTGTTTGCATTGTAAAAATAAGTTAACTTAGAAGTTTAGAATAGCTCATATTCAGCAGTGGAAGAGAACAAAAATTGTATCTTCTTTAACTATCCTCCCATATTGTTGATACTGAACAAAGTAATTTGAAAGGGTAGTTATCAAGTTCATTCTGAAATGTGCTTCAGTTCTAAAATAAATAGTACTTTATATTGAGGGGGGTGTATCTAAGTTTTTGTCACACTGGCTGCCAGGTACTGATTTTTTTTTTCTTTTTTTCACCCTTTTTAAAAAAGCTTGGGTTCTGCTGTTTCTATAATGGCCAAGATACCACTGCTGGAGTGCCTAACAAGACATAGTTACAGAGAGTGTTTAGGAAGATTGGATTCTTCAGCTGAGCATGGAGGGGCAGAAAGTGAAGAAACAGAGGACGGGAAATCTCCTGAATTGGTGCTTGATTCTGATATATCTAAAGTGAACAATAAATCAATGTTAGCCTCATTTTGCAAGTCAGTTGAACATTCAGCTTTGGAAGGCACAGATCCTGAAAATGTAAAAGATGATAAGGAATCTGGTCAAAATGCTACTGTCCAGGACAATGAAACATCAGTAGAATTGAAAGATGATGATCAGCCTTCTTTCAATGTATCTTTATTAGACTGGATAAATGTTCAAGATAGACCTAATGATGTTGAATCACTGGTCAGAAAATGTTTTGATTCTATGAGCAGGGTAAGTTAACAATTTCTTAAAAATCAAATTATATTGCATTGAATGTTGTTTATTTTCCAGCTTCTTGTAACTTGTTGTTTCTTAGCTAACTTTCTGAATGGAGCGCAGTGCAGAGACTAGGGATGGGTGTGGGAAGTATTTTCAAAGTTCTTGACTGTTAAGAATTTGACCTTTAGGAAAACATATCAATTTCACAATGAGTGCTTGTTATCTTGTTTGTTTCTCAAATAGCCATTCCTTTTGGAAAGCCAATAGCTTCTTGCAGCATATAAGCAAAGTGACTTGACATCTATTCTTCGTCTTTTTCGTAGAAAGTATGCTTTTAGTGAAAGTAAAGATTTTCCTGGGCCAAAGTGAATGCTTTTTGTGTTAAAAATACTGAAGCCTTTATTAAAATCTAGGACAAATTAGTGTGGTTAATTGTGATAATTTTTCATACCTGCATACCTTATTAGCTGATACCAATGTACTCAAAGGATTCCAGCACATCAGTTTGCATTTCTGCTGCTGGTAGAATAAAACATTGCTCACTTTCTGTATTTTCCAAATGATTATTTTAACCAGTGAGCATTACAACCTTTTAAAATCCTTTTGCCTAGATTTGCTTTCACTGTAGCTTATGTTTCTTACATTGTCTAGCCTTGTGTGGATGTGTAAAATTTAAACTATTGCAACTCAGTATACCCTGAACAAAGAAAACAATTTCTATTGTCTTTGACACTTTATTTCCTCTTCAAGGTAGGACTGGAACACTGTCTCAGTTATGTCTAATGCCTATCTGTTTCAGGGAACATTATGATTTGTTCAGTTCTGTACACTGTTCTTTTTAATTCTGTCTTAAAAGTTGGAGAATTGGGTTTAATATTAAGGGCTGCTTAAGATCTAGAGCTGTCTAAATTTTAGTAGTACAGAAAAGGCTAAGATTAGACTTTACAAGTGTTTCTCTTTAGCAAAAACAGTACTCTAATTTTTTTGTGGGAAGTCTTCCTAATTGCTGAAGTCCTGAGACAGTCCTCTGTTCTGTTTGTTCAGTTACACCACAAGATGCTTTCTACTAGTTCAAAGCAAGAATAACAAAGCCCAGTAGTTCAGTTGTGTGAGAACAAGTTTACTTTCTACGTAATATTAACAGGGCACAAATGTAATGTCTCTTAAAAATCAGTATTTTGAGACAGACATTAAACAGTTGCTTCCAAATAAATTATAGTGATACTTAAAGGTGGTTGAGACCATTCTGGCAACAAAGTACCACGCAGCAGCTTGTTCATTCTTCCCCTTTCTTTGCAACCTGGTGGGATGGGGAGAAGAATCAAAAAGAAGGCAAAACCCGTGGGTTGAGATAAGAACAGCTTAAGAATTGAAATAAAATATGATTATAATTGTAATGAAAAGGGAAACAAAGAGAAAAACAAAACCCAAGAACAAAGTGATGCACAATACAGTTGCTCACCACCTGCTGGCCAATGCCCAACCTATCCCCATGCAGCAGTTGGCGGCTCCCAATCAACTTCCCCCCAGTTTCGCTACTGGGCATGACGTTCTGTGATATGGAATGACCCTTTCGCCAGTTTGGGTTAGGTGTCCTGTCTCTGTTACCCCCAGCTTCTTGTGCCCCTCCTCACTGGCAGAGCATGAGAGACTGTCCTTGATCAGGGTAGGCATTACTTAGCAACAACTACAACACTGGTGTGTTACCAGCATTTTTCTCAGACTAAATAAAAACTGCAGCACTGCACCAGCTACTAGGAAGAAAAATTAACTCTATTCCAGCTGAAAACAGGGCAAGTTACAAAAAGGAGGAAAAAAAAAAAGAATATTAAAACCTGCTTTAGTCAAATACTTACTTTACCTTTCTAGATCAGCTTGTAGTCTTACCTGACGTATATCACATGTTGTAGAGAGGCTATCTTGTAATTGTGTGCTTTCCTGTCATTGTCTTAGAAGACTTGTCAGAAGTCCTTTGTTGCAACTGTTGTGATTGTTTTGTATCTTAAGCTGATGTTTTGTAGGGGAAAAAATACTGCTTCTGCAAAAATGAAGATTCTTTTTGTTTTCTTGGTATAAGCAGAAAATGCTTTAATCAAGACTATTCTGCCCCCCACCAGAACAACTGTGATTGATCAATCTTGAACTGTTTTGGTTCACAAAAAACCCCAAAGCTTTGAAGTAATGTGATAGTTTGTAGTTTTCCTTAGGAAACATTGATTTACTCTGTTTTGATAGCTGCACAAAGGATTGAATCATTGCCTACCACTCATTTAGAATTAACTTGAAAACAGAATTGACCTGTAGCTGAAAAGGAAAAGAAAATACTGAATAAGTATCTGCAGCACAATTGTTGTTTTAATATTTACTTGAGATCACACCTTAACGTAGCAAGTCAGAATAAAATGGCACTAATTTATTTTCTGTTGTTTTTCCTGCATTCTCCCCATGCCCTTTCCTTCTTGGAAATATGAACTATACAAATGGCTTGTGATTGCAATTCTTATTTGAAACTCTGAATTCAGGTAAGATTTTAATGAAGTTGAAAGCATCAGAGTATGAGCTTTATACATTTGATACTGCCAAGATTACCTAGGTTGCACAGGGTTCTGTTGGGTATCTGGTTCTTCTAGCCTCTAGGTGTTTCTACAAAATGACACTACTAATTACAGAAACATAGGCTGCAGTAAAAACAGAGGGTTAAGTAGGAGCTAAACAGATGTTTAAGCTAATGCTGTTGTAGCCACTCAAATAAAAGGCTCAAAAAGGAGTTTTAAAGATGAGAACAGTATTATCTACCAGTGGAAGTAGAGCTGAGCGCTACAGATGCGATTAGGTCAAGGATGGGATAAAAAGAATAGATGAACAAAATAAAGGGTGGAATGAGAGGAACAGGTATTCTTAGTAAAAAGAAATAGAACACAATTAGTTTACGAAAGTAAAAAGGAAAATAAGCCCACCAGATTGTTGAGTATTTTGTCTTTTAAAAAACTGTTCTGGATGCTGCAGTAGAGAAATTCAGAATGCCATGGGGAAGTAATCCTGAATAGGATGGCAGTAAAGATTATCCTATAAAAACAATCTGATTTAATCCCAGAAACTATTACTGGTTCTTGAAGATGGCCTGCTTACTTGAGAAACAGCAAGATTAGTAAGACCATTCGTAACATACTATAATTAGCCTTTGCCATTTTGTGACATTAATAATAGCATTAATTACTTATTTTGGGCTGATTACTAGCTTTCAGTGCTTCTTGTGGTCTTCTGTTTGTTTTGGGCTTTGTTTGTTTGAGGAGAATAGAAGTCCTATTATTTGTGTTGCTCCTTAATTTGTAATGGTTTTCCTCTTCAGAATCCTCTCTATACCCCAGAGGGGCATTTCCAGAAAGCAGAAGTGCTATATGTGGAAGTTTTTTTACAGTTAAATAATAGATAGAGGAAAAATACTACTTTTTATTTATGTTAATACTGAGTCATATAGGTACTGCCTTTTTTTTCGTTTGTGGATGTGTGCTCTGTAAGAGACACTGGAACAGGTTGCCCAGAGAAGTTATGGCTGCCACATCCCTGGCAAGGGATGGATGGGACTTTTAGCACCCTGGTCTAGTGGAAAGTATCCCTGCCCATGGCAGGGGGTATGGAACCAGATGATCCTTAAGGTCCCTTCCAACCCAAACCATTCTGTAATTTCTGGATAAAGGCCTGTGAAGGAATACACTTAAATAATTTTTTTACATGTGGTTTTATTAAGAAAAACATAAGCAAAAAGTGTTACAAATTTATTAATTTTCTGTAGCTTGTTTTCCAGTTACTTAGAACTGATTTGCTTGTCTAAGCAATCAATAAGTCATTAATTCAGTAGGAAAGGGGTAATGAGTCTTGCAGCTTTTTCCAACACCCTTCCTACTGCACTTTCCACTGAATTGCATTCATCACTTACTTTGATTTTAGGTGTAAGGACTTTTTTCTGGATAAACTGTGTCCATTACCTTTAAACTGCCTCTTCCCCCTTCCCCCTTCCCCCTGCCTTGTACCTGCAACTAATGTCTTCCCCTTGTAAGCATCCTGATGTTTGTGACGGTTTATTTGGAATACTTCAAAGAAGTTCATGCGGTAATATAAAATGCTGAGACTCATTAACTCAGAATTCTGAAAGAGATAACAGATGTAGATACATGTTATTAAAAAAAAATAAAATTAAGGTTATAAAAAATGCATTTAAGTAGCTCACATCACCTTTCAGGATGTCAACTGCTAATAAACGTTTTTGTATTTCCCCTTTTTTTTCCAGCTTGATCCAAGGATCATCCAACCCTTTCTGGCAGAATGTCGCCAAACTATCGCCAAACTAGATAATCAGAACATGAAGGCTATTAAAGGCCTTGAGGATAGGCTCTATGCATTAGATCAGATGATAGCAAGCTGCAGCAGACTGGTGAATGAACAAAAAGAACTTGCTCAGGTAATACACACTTGTGTGTGCAACACTGCAGGATGGCAGATTTTTGATATGCATATGCTTTAAAGATTGCAACAAAACGGTTGCATGTCTTAATGCAAGATAGTTTTCAGCATAACACAGTGGAGGTGCTCAAAGAGGTGCTATAGTCATAATAATTTGACATTTAAATAATGGTAGCTTTTACTCTGTGTAGTCATGTTTTCAGCTCGTAACTCCAGCTACAATATTAATTTAAATACTTTTTAAAAAATAACTAGCTGAAAATGCAGCATGGGTGGTGGACAGCACTAGAACTTCAGGTTAAGGGCTTACATTTATGTCACTTCATTTATATTGGAGAAGAAGTCACTCTACAAAATAAAAATGTCTTACTTAAAATATCCTAGACTTAATGCACTAGGAACATGCAGAGCTATAGTTCACTGCAACTTTGTCAACTGCATATTAAGGTGTGTATTTTTATAGCTAGAGTATTTCCGATTACATTCTCTTGGTTATATGCAATCTGTTGAATTCCAATTCAGCAAATCAGCATTTTCATAAAAGCATCAGTATAAAATTGCTGGTTTCTGAGATACATCAGTATATGGTATTGTTTCTGGAGTAGGAAACATCTGTTGTTTGTTGGTTTTTTTTTTTTATTGTGGTTTGTTTGTTTGCAGGTTTTTTTGCGGGGGTCGTTTGGTTTTTGTTGTGGGGGTTTTGGGTTTTTTGAGGGTTTCTTGTGTTGTTGTTTTTTGGGTTTTTTTTTGGTGGGGGGTGGCGGGTGGTGTTAGAAATTAAGTTTCTTCTGTATGAGAAAGAAAAAATCATACAATTTTACTTCACATCACACCTTCCAGCAGAGAATTTTTTCTCTTCATGAAGAATAGGTGAAGGTACTTTATAGAACAAGGATAAGGAATATCTCACTGCCCTGGACTTCAAGAGAGCAGA